GTTAGTGAGCTGGTTCTTGTTTATGTCGTGAGCTTCCATATCTTTTTTGCTGTTCTGGTTATTTCAACATCCTACATCTTCATTTTTCACACCATCCTAAGGATGCACTCAGCTGCAGGACATCGCAAGGCTCTGTCCACCTGTGCTTCCCACTTCAGTGCCATTTCCATCTTCTACGGTGCTACAATGTTCATGCACCTGCAGCCCAGCTCCAGTCACTCCATGGACACTGCCAAAATCGCCTCTGTGTTCTACACCGTGGTGATCCCCATGCTGAACCCTCTGGTCTACAGCTTGAGGAACAAGGAGGTCAAGAGTGCATTCTTAAAGGTCAAGAGTGCATTGATTTGTTGGATGTCCAATAAGGTATAGGATTTTCATTGTAACTTTGCGAGTTGAACCATTTCTTGGTTAATTCTTTAAATACTTCTCCAAGAATGGTGCTATATTTGGGGGCGTATATTAAAATTAAATTATTGAAGTAATTCTTTCACTTGTGCAAAAATCTTTTGAGGTAAAAAGCCAACTGTATCCAGAAGTAAATACTAATGCTTAAAATATCTCTATATGTCCTGCCTAAACCATGCTTGCAGATGTTATTCTACGCGTGTGTACACAGGTGTTCTTTTTTAGACCTCATGACAGTGAAAATGTGTGTACAACACGCTTTCTCATAAATAGAAGCCATGTCCAGCAGGGTCTCACAGTGACAGCAGAAGTGGATGCGGTGGGTTTCATCACACACAAATATCACGTGTTATTGGTGGCAGTTAATATTATGTCTTCATTTGTTTGAATAATGAGATGCTCAGATAGCCAGGAAACATTTTAAACTTTTTTTCTGTGTCTGTGAGTGTTTATAATGTGTCTGCTATTTAAAGCAGTGGTTTAGTAAGAAGATTGTCTTCTTCATTGGGGGAAATTGCACAAAAAATTCAAGAGAGAGCAAGTGCCATCTCTCTCTCTCTCTCTCTCTCTCCCCCATCTCTGTCCTTGAGGACATTTCCCTTCTGACACTTCAACACAAGTTAATGACCTGCACCTCTTCTTGGTCTTCAGTCCCCACACTCGCACCAGGCCCACCCCTACCTGTCAGACCCAGTGAACCCCTGGCAGCCTTGTCCTTAGGACAGCTGAGGGAACTTCCAGGACTCCACCACCTCCTGTCATATACCACAGTGACCCCCCAATGCAAGTCCTCCTCCATGTCTATATCTGTTCTGCCAATTCTGATTTTCTTGAGAACCACAAATAAAGCAGTCCTGTTTAGGGCTAAGGATTTAGCTTAGTGTTTCCACTGCTCTAGGTTAATAATTGTTTCATGTAATAGAGTACAATTTTGGCTAAGATTTCTTCAATTTCTTATGATATTCTTTTTTCTCATTGAATTTATTGGTATGTTTCATGTATACAGTACAGTTACATTCATCATTGGGATCTTGTTCTTATGATATTGTTAGGGTGTTAATTTGAGAAAACATGCAAATTAATAACCCAGTCGCCACTTCAACAAAACAAAAAAAAAAATACCTGAATGACAAAGAAAGTTGGAGGGAGGGCAAAGAGAGAGAGGAAGGAAAACAGAGGTAGGAGGAGCAGAACAGGAAGTGAGAAACAGAAAAGGACAAATAGAGAGTTAAAACCTCACAAACAAACAAACTATTGGTGTAATACATTCATTCAGCATAAGTTCAAAAAGTACTCTTCCCCACCAAGGAAGCAACCAAGAGATTGAAGACCTGGAGAATGGTAGAAAAATACCTGAGAACTATACTATTTAGAAGGATGTAATCTCCTGAGTATACAAGGACTTCAAAATAGCCAATAACAAAAACAAATAGTCTGATTAACAATACTGAACAAACTAAATACACATTCCTCTAAAGAAAACATACACAGGACCAGTGTTGTTTGAAAACTGCTCATTTTCACTGCTGAAAATTAAATCCAAAGCACATTTAGACCTCTCCTAAGATCCGAGAAATGGCTTTATTCAAAAGATTGAAGAGAGCCTTGAAGAACATGGAGAAAAGGGAAGCTTACACACAGTTGTCTGTAATGCAAATGGACACAAAAATTACCGAAATCTAGAGACATATTCCTTAAAAAGTAGGAGTAGGAAACCATCAACAGAACTAAGAGACAACCTACAATGGAGGAAAAAAATTCTTACCAGCTGCTCCTCAGACAAAGGACTATTATGCAAAATAAAGAACTCAAAAAATAAGCCCCCCAAATATACAGACCTGATTCAAAAATGGGCATCTGAAATGAACAAACATTTCTCAGACAAAGAAATAAAAGCATCAAGTAAATATATGAAAAAAATGCTCCATATCACTAGTTATTTGAGAGATGCAGATGAAAACAACACTGAGATTCCATCTCACCCAGAAAGAATGGCTGCTATCAAGAAATCGACCAATAACAAATACTGGCTGGGTTGCGTGGAGAAAGAAAACCTTCTCTGTTGTTGGTGGGAATGCAGACTGGTGCAACCACTGTGGAGATCAATATGGAGATACCTCAAAGAGCTGGGACTAGAGGTTCTATTTGACCCAACCACCTTCTGCTGGGGATCTTTCCTAAAGAATTAAAAGAATCACACCACAGTGGTATCTGCATGCCCATGTGTATAGCACCACAGTTTGTAAAAGCTAAAACATGGAAACAGCCCATTTGCAAATCAGTTGGAGACTGGGTAAAGAAGATGTGCTTTTTTCTATAAAATGGAATACTACGCAGCCATAAAGAATGAGAAACTAGAGCCATTCATGGGAAAATGGATGGATATTGAGGCCATACTCTTAAGTGAAGTAAATAACACACACGTGTAAATACTGAATAGTTTCTCTGGTGTGAAAAACTAAAAGTGCAAATAAGACCCAAATGGTATAATTGACAATGTGAAATAGGAAGAAAAGGACTAAAGGTGCAGGGGAATTGGGAAGGGTAGGGGAAAGGAAATAAGGGAAAAGAAAAAATATGACAAAAGGAAAAAATGGAAACAAAGATTTTGTAAATAGGAAAGGGAGGAGGGGGTGAAGGTAGGGCAGGGGTAAGGAGAAAAAATGAGAAACAAGACCTGTTATGTAAAGGTACAAGATCCCAATGATGAATATAACTGTACTGTATACCTAAAATGTACCAATAAACTCAATGAGGCAAAAAAATTAGCAGTAGGACTACTACACAATCCTGCTGTCCTACTACTGAGAACAGGCTCAAAGAAGAGAAATCAGTATGCCGAAGAGCTTCCAGTCCTTGTAGCTAAGACATAAAACAAGCTCCGAGTCCACTGGAGTCGATAAAGCCAGAGTGGTGTGTGTGCTCCGGGGAACACCAGGCATCTGTGAATCCTGTCACGTGTGACAACGCAGCTCAGCCGGGAGTCACGACGTGAAGTAGATAAACTCGGGTAGGAAATCAGTTAGAGAATGATCTCACTGACCTAGGAAGCTAACGAAGTTAATGTCACAGAATTTGAGAGAGAACAGGGCGCATGAGAGGCTGCAGAGAGTAGGGAGCAGGGGGGCTGGGGCGGGTGATGAATTGTTACTCGGTCATTGTGAGGAGCAGGAAGTGCTGCACGCTAGGAGGACACAGGTGACAGTGTGCAACGTGTTCTTCAGATGGGGAAGAAAGCACTGGAAGGTCCCACTGTAAAGACACAGTAGAGATTTGAAGGGGCAGACTTGTTTAACTTGACTTCAACCCTACAAAAAGTATACATGTGCACTTGCATCTGAGTAACTCTTTAGTACGTAATTTATTTACATTTCCATTTATCAGATAAAATCACATTAATGTTTTAAAATGTACCCATCATGGTCCCTGCAGACAGCTTGATGTCTTCTTCCCTAAGAGACTGGGATGAGGAGCTGTACCTGTACTCAGGGGGAAATCTCCAGAGATCACAGCGTCTCATAATTGATTCCAGAGCTCCATGCAGAAGCCTCTGGGATCCCGGCAGGACTGGAGCTGACAACAGGTGAGAAGGGACGCGGCGCTGCCTTTGCTCCTGGACGGCACTGGCCCATCGGAGAGAGAGTCCCTGTCACGAGTGCAGGAGGGGTTCTGACCCGAGGACTGGCTGTGAGCCCGCAGCAGCGGCCACGGAAATCCCTCAGCGGGAGTCACATGGAGGGAACTGTAGAGGCTGAGCCGTTGGAGAGGAGACTCAGAGAGCCCTCCTTGTTGACAGACGCCCTTCTGTGAGTGACGTGAGAGGAGCGATCCCATCATGCCCATTTTCCAGGTAAGGAGACGTTGTTCTGCCAAGGGGCAGAGGAATTCACGGAGCACACGGAACTTGAGCCCTGTGATTGTCCTCTGCTCCATTCTCCCTCCCCGACTTGGACCCCTGGAAAGGTAGAACATTACTTGAGACAGAGGGAGCTCCTCTCACAGGACTGCAGCAACATCCTGGGTACGTTTCTGATTTCAAAGCACTGTTCTCTACTGGCTGCTGTTTCTCATTCAGAAAACTGGTACGTTTCCATACCATTACGTCAGAAATGAATTCAATATCCTCACGCGCTCACTCATAAACTTACTTTACCTAAGGCTAAGGGAAACACAACAGTGCTGAAAGGAGACAGTGAAACACACCTAACACGTCTGAAGTTACCGATAGGTGAGCAACTCGGAGGTGTCAGTTTTCACTGTGCTCAGGAGGAGTGGATTTCCTGGAGCACACGTCCAACAGTCATGTTCCTCGAGTTAAAAGCTCTCTTTACCTCATTTTGCAATTTAAGTTGCTTAAATTACATAGGTCAGACACTAGAGTATGTAAGGTTTGAAAGCATGTAAATGTGCATAGAATTAACACAATCAGCTTGGTTTCCAAGATGATGTTTCTAGAGTATCTGAAGTACAAAATCTTCTACAGTAACAGAGTACTTGTGGAATTGCACTTTTTGCTTTCAGTTCAGTTTTTTTATATTTTTCTTTCTTCTATCTCTTTGTTACAGCACATGTAGAGGTTCTGGACAGCACTGATGGAGAACAGGACAGAGGTGACCGAGTTCCTCCTGCTGGGACTCACCGATGACCCACACCTGCGGCTTCCCCTCTTCATCACCTTCCTCCTCATCTACACCCTCACCATGGCTGGGAACCTGGGGATGATCCTGCTGATCCTCATGGACCCTCGTCTGCACACCCCCATGTACTGTTTCCTGGGTAACCTGTCCCTGGTCGACTTTTGCTCCTCCTCAGTTGTGACTCCCAGGGTCATGACTGGGCTCCTTACAGGAAACAAGGTTATTTCCTACAATGCCTGTGCTGCACAGATGTTCCTGTTTGTAGCCCTCATTGGTGTGGAAAATTACCTGCTGGCCTCCATGGCCTATGACCGCTATGCCGCAGTGTGCAAGCCCCTGCACTACACCTCCACCATGACTGCAGATGTGTGTGCAGGTCTCGTCATGGGCTGCTATGCCATCTCGATCCTGAATGCCTGTATTCAAATTGGAAACACATTCAGTCTGTCATTTTGTAACTCCAACTTGGTCCATCACTTTTTCTGTGATATTCCAGCAGTCATGGCTCTCTCCTGCTCCGACCAACAGGTTTGTGAGCTGGTTCTTGTTTATGTTGTGAGCTTTCATATCCTTTTTGTCATCCTGGTTATTTCAACATCGTACATCTTCATTTTTGGCACCATCCTAAGGATGCGCTCAGCTGCAGGACATCGCAAGGCTCTGTCCACCTGTGCCTCCCACTTCACTGCCGTCTCCATCTTCTATGGGACCACAATGTTCATGTACCTGCAGCCCAGCTCCAGTCACTCCATGGACACTGCCAAAATCGCCTCTGTGTTCTATACCATGGTTATTCCCATGCTGAATCCTCTGGTCTACAGCCTGAGGAACAAGGAGGTCAAGAGTGCATTCTTAAAGGTCAAGAGTGCATTGATTTGTGGAAGGCCTAGTAAGGTGTAGGATTTTTAAATATACTTTGTGAGATGAACAATTTCTGTGTTTCATTCTTTAAGCTTTTCTTCAAATGCTGAGTTACATTTTGAGGCCCATTTTAAAACTAAATTATTGAAATAGTCTCACTTGTGCAAAGGTTTTGAACATTGAAAATCTACTGTGTCCAGAAAGGAATGGAGTGAGAATGTTTAAAATATATCCATGTTGCTGACTAAACCATCCTTAAGGATATTGCTGTATGCGTGTGTTACACAGGTGTTCTTTGCTAGACCTCGTGTCAATGCAAGTGTGTGTACAACAGGCTGAAAAATGCCCGCAGACAGAAGCGATGTCCACAGCACTCTCGCTATAACAAATACCAATGTGTTGTCGGGTACCAGACTTGAACATACTCAGGGCAGTTCATTTTATGTGTTTTTCGGGTGAGATTAAAAGATTCTCAAGTAGCCAGGAAATGATATTATGCAACATCTGTGAGCGTGTTTCCAGAACAGTATCTCATGTAAAGCAGTGGATTAGTTGGGATGATGTCTGCGCCTCACTGTGGGAGACTCCACAAAAAGTCAAGAGAGGGCAAGATTTCTCTCTCTCTCTCCCACACACACACACACACACACACACACACACACACACACACACCAGGGCCCCACGCCCTGAGATGGGGTGGAAGGCATCAGAACCACTGAACTGAATCCCGAGCTCCACTCTCCCTGTCTCAGGCCTTCCTGTCTGACCCAGTTAGCCCCTACCAGCCTTGTCTTAGGACAGCTGAGGGAACTTCCGGGACTCCACCACCTCCTGTCATACACCACAGTGCCCCCAACACTCATCCTCTTCTGTGTCTATACCTCTTCTGCTGATTTTGATTTACCTGAGAACCACAAATAAAACAGTACTCTTTAAAGACTCTAGCTTGACCTTCATTGTCTTTTTCTAGGATATTGTTTAGAATTCCTTCTAGTCTGCTTTGCTGTTCATGAAGTTTCTCAGGTGTTCTCTGTCTTGGAAGTATCTTATTTCCTCATCCATTTTGAAAGAGAGTTTTGCAGGATACATCAGTCTAGGTTGGAGGTTGTTTTCTTTTAGAACTTGAAATACCTCACTCCAGGCTCTCCTTAACCTGAGGGTTTGTGTTGAAAAGTCTGCTGTGATTCTGATGGGCTTTCCTTTATATGTGATTTGTTTCTTTTCTCTTACTGCTTGTAGTATTTTGTTCTTCTGTTGGGTTTCTGGGATCTTGATTATTATATGTCTAGGTGTAGATTTTTTTTTTATCATGGCTAGTTGGAGTCCTAGATGTCTCACTTATCTGTATGTCTAATTCTCTCCTTCTGTTTGGGAAGCTTTCTGTTATTAATTCTGTGAACAGCTTTTTTAAGTCATTTGTATTTTCTCCTGCTTCTTCATGGATTCCTATCAGTCTTATGTTATTCTTCTTTGCATCATCTAGGAGGTGTTGGATCGATTTCTCATGATGTGGGAAAAAATTTTTACCAGCTGCTCCTCAGACAAAGGACTATTATCTAGAATATATAAGAATTCAAAACAATCAGACCCCCAAAATATAAAGACTCGATTCAAAAATTGGCATCTGAAATGAACAGACATTTCTCAGACAAAGAATTAAAGCAGCAAGTAAATATATGAAAAAATGTTCCACATCACTGGTCATTCAAGAGGTGCAGATGAAAACAACACTGAGATTCCACCTCACCCCATAAAGAATGGCTGCTCTCAAGAAATCAAACAATAACAAATGTTGGCAGGGTTGTGGGGAGAAAGGAACCCTTCTCCATTGTTGGTGGGAGTACAAACTGGTGCAACCACTCTGGAAATCAATATGGAGATACCTCAAAGAGCTTGGACTGGAGGTTCAATTTGACCCAGCCATCCCTCTGCTGGGGATCTTTCCAAAATAATTAAAAGAATTATACCACAGAGATATGTACACACCTATGTTTATAGCGGCACAGTTTGTAATAGCTAAAGCTTGGAAGTAGCCCATTTGCATATCAGTTGGAAACTGGATAAAGAAGATGTGGTTTTTCTATAAAATGGAATATTACTCAGCCATAATAATAAGAAATTAGATTCATGCATAGGAAAATGGACACATATTGAGGATATGCTTCTAAGTGAAATAAATAAGTTACACATGCATAAATACCAAATAGTTTCTCTGGTGTGAAAAACTGTAATAGTACATAAGATCCTAATGAGATAATTGACAATGTGAAATAGGAAGAAAGGGGATAAAGGTGTAGGGAAAGTGGGATGGGTAAGGGAAAGGTAATAAGGGAAAGAAAAAAATATGAGAAAATGAAAAAATGTAAATGAAGTGTTTGTAAATAGGGAAAGGGAGGAGGGAAGGTAGGGACAAGGGGAAAAAATGAGGACCAAGACCTGTCATGTAGAGGTACAAGATCCTAATAATGAATGTAACTGTACTGTATAACTAAAATGTACCAATAAACTCAATGAGGAAAAACAAAAACAAAAACAAAAAACCTCTAGCTTAATATAATAGTGTGCATTTTGGGCTAAGATTTCTTCAATTTTCAATGATATAGAATCTTAATTGGAGATAACACATTATATATTAAACAATAAAGGCCTTCTTGAAATTTCTTAAGCAATGAGTAAATCATACATCTGAAGTGAATTAGTATTTATTTTTAATGTCATCATTCTGTACATTCAACATGATCATATTTTGAAAATGATAATATACAACAATAAAATGCAGAAAATACAGCCAGCCATCTTTTTCAACTATTCATATGACACTATACATTCAGATCAAGAATTAACTTTATGCCAATAATGTTGCATAGTTTTTTTCCTGTAAGTTCTTTAAATTGTTTTTGCCATTCTTTTCTACTTAGTTTAGTTAATTCTCCATTGCACACTTTTCACTCTCCTGTATTTCCCCTCTTCTATTCCACGGATTTTCTTGCCATTTCTTCACATCAACCAAGTTCATGCCACAGGCCCTTTGCTCTTGCTGTCCCCACTTGGATGCTCTCTCTCCGTTCAGGACCCTGACTCAATGGACTCTGCCCTGGAGCCCTTCCCTGACCACCTTCTTCAGCTTCTCAGTCTTCTGTCATCAAGCACACTGTCCCCTCCTCCTCAGTCACTCTCTTCGGGTGTTATCAACCCTTGTAAGACTTTTTAGGTGAAGCAATCCAGATACACAGAACAGATATTTAAGCATAACCTTTTCCTCTACCAAGAACGGACTAACAAGCTCAGGAAACACAGAACCCACATGCCTTGGCTCACAGATCCACTCAGAAGTGCCACTGGACCAGGCAGAACCCAGAGGTGATGGGGCACAGCTTTGTTCTTCAGAAACACGAGCTGAAACTCTGCCTGTCCTTGCAGTTGTGACATCAAGAAACAACCAGGTTTAGCATCAGCCTGGGCGTCGAAGGGACTGCCTGCACCAACACCGCCTTTACTCAGAGTGTAAAGCCAGGCTCCATTCACTGGCAGCAGATTAGGCTCATGTTATGGTTTCTGTCTGGATGTCCCCCAAAGCCTCCTGTGGTCAGGCGCTTTTTCAGAGTTGTCTTGATCTAGGGTGTGTGAAGCTGGAATTGATTTGAGATGCCACATTGGGCTCAAGGGCACTAGGATGAAGGGTGGAGGTCTACTAAGTAGCCTGGATAAGCTAAAAGGGACAGAAAGTTCCTGTTACATTCATTGTTTCCTTAGCTCTCATCTACCCTGAGGCTGCAGAGAGTAGGGAGCAGGAGGGCTGGGAAGGTTGATGAATTGTTACTCGGTCATTGTGAGGAGCAGGAAGTGCTGCACCCTAGGAGGACACAGGTGACAGTGTGCAACGTGTTCTTCAGATGGGGAAGAAAGCCCTGGAAGGACCCACTGTAAAGACACAATAGAGATTTGAAGAGGCAGACTTGTTTAACTTGACTTCAACCCTACAAGAAGTATACATGTGCACTTGCACCTCAGTAACTCTTTAGTATGTAATTTATTTACATTTCCATTTATCAGATAAAATCACATTTAATTTTTAAAAATGTAACCACCTTGGTTCCTAGAGGCAGTTTCATGTCATCTTCCCTAAGAGATTGGGATGAGAAACTGACCTATTCTCAGGGGGAAATCTCCAGAGATCACAGCGTCTCGTAATTGTCTCCAGGTCTCCGGCAGGACTGGAGCTGACAACAGGTGAGAAGGGACGCGGCGCTGCCTTTGCTCCTGGACGGCACTGACCCATCGGAGAGAGAGTCCCTGTCACGAGTGCAGGAGGGGTTCTGACCCGAGGACTGGCTGTGAGCCCACAGCAGCGGCCACGGAAATCCCTCAGCGGGAGTCACATGGAGGGAACTGTAGAGGCTGAGCTGTTGGAGAGGAGACTCAGAGAGCCCTCCTTGTTGACAGACGACCTTCTGTGAGTTACGTGAGAGGAGCGATCGCATGGTGCTGTTCCACTGGCAAAGGAGGGACTCAAGGTAACTTGGAACACTGTCCCTGTGAGTGTCCTCTTGTCCATTTTCTTCCCCCGCCTTAGAGATGTTGGGAAAATTAGAGCATTACTTGAGACACAGGGAGCTCCTCTCATAGGGCTTCAGCAATGTTCCCTGGATATTTTTTATTTCAACGCACTACTCTGTGCTGACTGTTGTTTCTCAGTTAGCACACTGACAGGCATTTGTATTTCATAAACCTTTTGGTGAGAACTGTAATTTAAACAAAAGCAGTGTTCTAACTAACTACACTTACAATGAATTATCTTAAAAAAAAGTGTTTTCCAAATATTTTTAAGGATGGTGAGGCAAGGCTGTGGTACAAATATCCTTCATTTAGACATTGGTGATTCTTATGAAAAATAATGCTGCTTAAATATTGCACAAAAATAAAGGCAGATGATGCTTTGAATGATTATTGATATAATATTTTTTTATTCTTGGAAGGGGGCTTGGGTCCTGAGTCTTTCTCCTACTATTTATGTTATCTTGCAGCATCATTTCTCAGTT